GTTTTATCGTTCGCTGGGGAAAAGCCGATCAGCTTAAAATTGGCGTGAAACATTAACGATTCGGCCGTCCGATATCCTTCAAAATTAATCCCTCCCTGCGCCCCGCGAATCAGCCAGTAGTTCGTATCAGCGTTCGGTCAGCCGCGGGCAGTTCGATCGGTACTTCACGTCTTTATGATCGATAAAACTTCACGCGCACCTGGATGACATAAAAGAGACATTTTTTTACGTATCGTAAATGGTACACTGTAAATTCCCGGTGAGAGATAGGGATCCGTATCAATTAATAATCATCGAATTGTACGAATTCCCGGTAATCGTCCGCGGGATGAAACCGAAAATGCCCCTCGCGTCGACAATATTCGGAAACATTCCGATTTTTCCTCCCGTTGGCGCGAAAACAGGAGTAATTAATTAATCCCGAATTCCAGCTAACTCTTTTTACCGGAGATACCAGAGATTAAACCGAGCCTTCGCGCTCATTAAATTCCGCCGTGTGATACGGGAGAGAGGGAGGGAGGAAGAGGGATAGAGATTCGCGCGTACGAACCTACAACCCCAACAAGTACAACCCTTCTCCCTGGCCGGCTACACTTTTACCGGATAGCGTTTTAATCGCCGCCGGCCCGATTATCAATAGCCCCCGGCATGCATTCTGACGTCACCCGTTCGAACGCGCCGTCTAAATATGCCAGGTATTCTACGACGGCGCGATCGCCGCGGTAATCGCACCGTGAGCGGCACAATGAACGGACGAAACGCCGAAGAATCCCTCGCGCCCGAGTTATTTTTATTAGGATCGATTCATTGCCCCCCTACCGCAACCTTACGCGTTCACCCGCGCGTCTATCTTCTCCTCATCCTTAACTATCGCCCATCCATTGCCCTTACCCCTTTTCCCTCCCCCACGACGACGGCAATACGGCCTCCAGCATTCATCGCCGTATGCAGTCGGTGCAGGTCGGCGTCGCCGGTATGCACCGCCATTGCATCGCCGGCTTTAAGGTAACCAGACTTACGTGCATTCCTGCTCTCCCTCTCTCTCTCCCTCCCTCCTTCCCCGTTCCCTCCGACCCGCTTCGCCTACCCCCTTCCCTGCGGCGCATTTCAACGGCTGGAATTCCGCGCAATTTCCTCCGGAATAAAGTGCAGGACGAGGGTGCGCGCGCGAACGGCGAAATATTGACACTGCCGGGGATGCACTGACGACGACGAAGCCCGCGTCGGCGAGAAATGCACTCGTTTTTGAGTCGCAGACGCAAATGGACGGAGAGAAGGACGAAAGTGAGGTACGGACGGACCGGATGGAAGGCGAACGAGAAGGAGGGGGTGAGCGTAGACCACGAAGAAAGTACGCGCGGAATATTTTCGCGCGATACATTTTCCACGCCTGCACGCCGCCACACGTCCCAGCATCCACGCTCGGAATGCTCACGGGCACGGAAAACGCAGCGCCGCCGCGATATTTATACCGCGGCGGGCGCGAAAAAAAATACGAGTAATCGTGCCCGGTGACTTCAGCCGCGAGAAAATGATTGGACTCGGCCCTCATTTACTCTTCCTCTCTCTCTCTTTCTCTCTCTCTGTCTCTCTTTCTCTCTCGCGTACGTTCCGCCGGGGCTTTTAAATCGTCCTTCCCCTCGACCCCACGCGTGCTGGTTGCGTCGTTCGCTAAATCGCAGGGCGCTCCTCTAAGTGCGCGCATACCAGTTCGAATTCACTTCAGCGATGCGCAAAAAAGGAAAAAATATGCAAACAAATAAATTTCGTATCGGGATATATAAAATGTATATCTTTTTGTGCAACTCGTGAACACTTCGCGGAAGAACTCGGTATTCTAAATCAGAATTCGGGAAGTTTTTAAACACCGCATCCCCTCAAGACGGATCTTTCAGACGTCGATAAGATTTTCCAGGGACTCACTCGCGCAGCGCTGTGATCCCGTGTGCGATAATCCACGCGTAAAGCAGACGCGCGGAGAAACGCGAGAGGGAGGGGAAAATAACGAGGCGGGAGGAGGGGAGAGTGTAATATAAATTTTATTCGTCGCGAGAAAAAGTATTGCGCGCGCTCACGAGTAAAGTGTACATCGAAAATCGTTATAACCCCGGCCGTTGTTTATCGAGAAGATTGAAATTTTCCGATAATGAAGTGTTCCGTGTTATCCGCTTCGATTGATTCACATAATGCGGAATATGAAGAGCGCGGTGTTAATAGATATGAAGTGGCCGTTACACTCCTCTGCCAGTCATCGTTTCGAAAAATAACGGAAAAATGCGCCGAAGAGCTTCCGCGCGCGCCTTGTGCGTAGGCCCATTAAATTCCTACGGGATTTGATTAACGCTCATTCAACGCTGAGCATTGAACAGCGCGCGCTTGGATTCAAGCTCGACGTATTCCATCGACCGCTCGTCTGACAGGAAATTAATTCATTATTCTCTCTCTCTCTCTCTCTCTCTCCTATTCCCCTCCCCGCCCTCCCTCTCTCTTTCTCTTCCGATTTTGCTGAGGTGCAAACGTGCATAACGCTGCGCCGCGTAATTTCTTCAGTTGTTCGTACAATCACACGTATCACGACCAATTAACGAAATTTCGCAATATTTCGATCAATTAGATTTAATATGCCGCGCGCAATTACGCGCTATTTACCGATCGTTATTATCCGTGTAATTTGTCGTCCGTGTTTTCCGCGCTTGCGGAAAATTCGTCGGCAAATATATTTCGCATGTTTAGAATTTTCCAAACTGGCAAGTTCGCTCGGTGAGTAAATAGATTGTTTGTGAGCGATGGGCTTACGGGATGTAATAAAATTCACCGTCGACACACACTGTGAAAGCGGCGCTTGTGCATTAACGGTCTTCCCCAGTAGAGACGAAAGATAGCAATATTATCAGGATATTTTCGACGGGAGATATTTCGCCTATAAATTTTCGCAGCTACCGGTAAGTGTTCGACAAATTGATAATCGGACTCTGCGAGACGGCGATAAACGCTTAGCCGTGCTTTCATATGTATTTCTCGACTATTGATCCGAACAAAAGAGCTATTCATTACTCCTATATCTGTCACGCGCACATTTATTTATTATTAAATATAATGAGTAGAGCTGCAGGGATTGATGATGCACTTTCATCTCACGTGCGTTTTGTGTTTTCTACCCGGCTCGTTAATTATTCATTTATCGAAACATTTGTCAATGTCGCGACGCACGCGAGATATTATTCTGTACTTAGCGCAACCGGCATTGAAAAGCTCACGACGCGATCTGTCGTTTTTTCCCGCCATTTCCGATACAAACGGCGATACTATCGCGCGTCTATAATACGGAGATTAAAGCGTCCATTCGAAATCTCTTTAATCACTTTTTCCTCGAAGCTTCATCCCCGCGGATACAACGAGAGGCACGGGGCGCGCGCAACTGCGATCGCGGCTGGAATTCACTCCAGAAGCACTAAAGTGCCTTTTTTTTTTCATTACTCGCCAATGCGCTCGTCATTTTAAGCCACCGAGTGCGCGAGCAGGCACGCTTTCTCTCTTTTTCTCTCTCTCTCTCTCTCTCTCTCTCTCTCCTTCGTCGTCCGGCGGTTACGCTCGAATTTTACGAGTATCGATTTTCACTTGTACCGATACTCGCTTGTGCGTCTTCTTTTTGTATGCCACCGAGCGCGATCCTGCTGTTCATCGCTCGTTTTACACCGAGTCGCTTAAACGGAGACGTTCCTCCATTACGAGGGACGAGTCGCGAATCATTTTTCCGCTGGCGCTACTATTGTTTCCCGCGACGCGACTTTTACAGCGAGCCACCGCTATGCGCGCGCGCGTTCCGTCTCTCTCGCTCTCCCCCCTCGTTCCACATACTCGTACTTTTCCATTAAAGAAATTTCCATATTAATAGAAGTCGGACGGAGACGACGCGCGGATGCACAAGAGAAAAAGAGAGAGAGGCCGGGGGAGAGGGGAGAGGGGACGGAAAGAGTTCGCCGAGTCGATGAAAAATGCGTCACTTCGAGTATTTCGTCGAGTTCACGTCGCACTTTAGTTGAGTAGTTTGGAATAAATGCGATAATAATTTTTTCTCCGCGGTTTTCCAATTTTCTATATAATCGCGTCTCGTCTACGTAATTCTCCTTTTTCAACACACGGTATATACTCTATGCGGGGTCGGCAACGTCAAAGTTTAGCCACGTCAAACGTGCATTAGATCCGTAATTGCATTTTAAGGTCGATCAAATTGCACTCTGTCTCTTTCTCTCTCTCTCTCTTTCTCTCTCTCACTTTATATCTTTTAAAATTTCAATTACCAAATTTTGTATTAAAAGTCATAATTTCACTTCTTCATAAACCTTTTTTATTTAAAGAATCAATCTGTTTATTTTAGGAAAGTCTCCAATTAGAACTATTTTCTAATATATCTATTATATTAATAAGCATAAATATAATTAGGGATCAAAGTTGCTGAATATATGAAGATAAAATTGTATATTACTCAAATAATACATTTCTTAATAAGAGATATCCCGTGAATAAGTCGTTTATAAGTCAACTGTCGCGTCTATATTTGCGTGAATTTAAAGATTTGATTAAAACAGACATTCCATTAAAATAATATTCGCTTCAGCTAGTATGGAGATTCATTTCTCTCTACCTTATACTTATTCAAGAATATTTATAATTCTCTGCTCCACAGAAACATTCTTTTTCTTGTTCTTTTCTTGTGTTAAAAGGAACATTTTTCCCGTATACGTTATAAGTAAAGAAATAAACAAACATTTGCCGACGTTAATCACTTTCTCAATATCTACTAATTACGTTAAATACAATTCATGATCTCACCCTTCGCATAGTCACACCGCTTTCCAATCGTACTTTCGCAGTAAATATTCCTCGGAAAAAATCCGCGGCTCCGTACACACGCTGTCGAAATTCAATGCGAACGTTACATCGCGTATATACCTGCCATTGAGCGATATCGCTGACATCGTTACTGTTTCTGTCCGCAGGCGGGAAGTACCACATGCTGCCCACCGGAGAGCTGCTCGTCTTCTCGGTGACTTCCGCCGATGCCCACTCGACCTACCGTTGCCGCACCGTGCACCATGTCACCGGCGATACCGTGGAAAGTTCCTCGTACGCCAGGCTCGTGGTTACGGGTAAGTTCTCGCAGGCATGTATGTACGCTCACCTGTCGGACTTCGCCGGGCGGAAGTCCGGAACGCTCCCGATATCACATGAACTCCATAAATATTGTATGATTTCGAGAAAAGAAAAATCCGCAGTTAATAACAGCGCGATACATCTTGCCGTGCATCTCCTCCGTGGTCGGGCCTCGATATATAAGGTGTCTGTTAATTACCGTACCAACGCACGTAGGAGCGCAGGTGAGAGCGCGTTAAATTGAACAGGAAAATCCCCTACTCTTGCATAATCCTCGCAATATTTATTGGGAATTCAATGAAGTAATATATATTTCAGATCAAACATTTGTCTCTTCTTTTCTCGCGAAGCTAACAGAAGGTGTACATTTCTCGGCCGTAGTCCACGTAAAAATACACATTCTCGCGACGTCTCTTACATCGGCCGTTGATCCGTTACATTTCACGCGTTCAGAGGCGAAATTCGGTCGGCACGATCGCCTCTACATGAGCGACCGTTCATCCGTGGCATTTCACGGCGGATGACCGACGTGAATATTCTCGCGTTTTATGCATCTACTTAAACGCCCGCGTTTATACAACGTTCTCGCGCGTGTGCTCTCCCCCGCCGCATAGCGGAATCATAATGCATTGTTGCGCGTTTCCCGCCGACCTCCGGCGTTCGCCTCCTCGGTCCAGCCACCACCTCCGCTACTGCCGCACGTGGCGCTTTCTTCATGAATAAATCATGAGTGTCCGAAATGCTAATGGCCGAAACGTCCGTCGACGATATTTCTGCGTCGGCGAAGTGCCCCGAACCGTGAGCCAAATTCACCCGACATCGTCGAGAATATGCTCGGCGTTCGAAGGGACAACAGCAGCCGCGGGCTTCTGCAACTGCGGAATCGCACACGGAGAGAGAGAGAGAGAGAGAGATTCGGGAGGCGATCGTTCAAACGTAATTTCTTCGAAATTCAGAGAGAAATTTCCCCATCAGTCTTCGTCGTCGCACAAGTATCGCTTTGATAATATTTTAGACAAAACTGGCTCATGTCATGACGCGAGTTAATTATTTTATATTTTTTATATTTTTTTATTTATATAATTGCTGTAATCAGTTTTTTATTTATATAATTGCTATAACCAGTTATTGTCTTGTACTGATACGAATAATTTTGTCTAGACTATGTTGTGCTTCTTTAATATCAGATCTTTTCACAATCCAACTTAACTTAGTCGCTTCGTAAATCGGGAATGATAATGTTGGGTCAGCTAAAAAAGTCCGATCTTCGAGTGAGATTTGACTTGATTGCATCCGATGAAAACAAATCTTCTTCCTCAACAAAGTACCCGCCGTTGCAGAGTCAGTAGACCTTCGTCAATATTCTGGCAGCATTTGTCTGCATCTTCTGTAGAAGATGGCCGGTTTATCGTCGAAGAGGGTGGACAATCGCACTGAGCTTTTCGACTGACCCGACGACTTTACGATTCAGCATGCGACGATATTTTTCATTTGTCGCGACGAGTCGATGGTTTAATTCAGGGTCGAAGTGAACGGCCGATTGTATCTTGTGAGCAGACCCTACAATACACCTTGTATGGCGGCCCGTCGAATTTATAGAAATCGTTCAGGAAGCCGGCACAAAGCGTCGCTTGACGATCTCGTGACGGGAAACTCGGCTAGTTCCGTCGGCGTGTACATACGATCTTGTCACGAGGACTCGGTAGTTTCGCCGGCACACTTCACCCGGCGCCGGAGAGATGCTGACTGATAAGGCATGAAATGGGTCGAACGTGGATGAAACTCCGGAACAATGGCAGGCTAATGATGAAAGTGCACCATCTTGTCTATTTCGGTCGCCCGCCGTTGAAACCGATAAGGGAACGAAGGGAGCGCCGGACGAACATATTGTTCGCTTCCTAACGCCGTCGCCCGCCGTTAAATTAACGCATCTCGCGTACGTCTGGAAAGTCAAGGAATAGCGCGAACGCAAATTGCAGGTAATTTCGTAGGCGTCAAGCGTCGCTGCGTCATTTATCCTTTTAAACTCGCCCGGGCGTGTAATTGTCACGAACGTTATTAAAACAATGTCATTCGCGCGTCTGCAAACTATGTTGGCAAATGTAATACGTTAACGAGATACATGATGAGTCAACAATCTTGATCAAGGGGATGCCAGGAGTCGACTCAAGCCGAAGAACATTTTTACGTCTTTTCAATGAAATTTCGAGACCTGTGAGGGAAAATACGAATAATTTGCTAGGACATTTTTATGTATCCGGGTTAGATTTTCTGTTAGATATAATAAAGCAAACTAACGCACATTCATCGCATTCATATTTATATCGCATTTATATTTACGTAAGATCTGTACGTGTACGAAAAATATTGAAAAAATAGCGCGATCGTGTTTCATGTAGCATAACATTTTGAGAATCGCCCCTGCGTTATCGACGCTCGATCAAGTTCGTCATCGACTTCAGCATCCTCTTAACACAATTATTCGACTTGCTGAATGATAATTTCGTTGTTAGGTATCCGTTATATATCTATCGTGGATGTAACCACTCGTGAAATATGCAGTATCCGGTACGTTCCTCGTGTAAAATAATTTTCCCGCGGGCATGTAAATGGCGCCGGTGAAAAATTGGTGGCAAATCGACGCGAAAGCGCCTTCCAGCGCCGCTTTGTCGAGTCAGTGTCTTGTTTTCGCGGTTCAACGTCCTTGCCTCTTTTTGCTATCACCTACGCCATTATCCGGCCCCGTATTTTTCGCCACCTTCCGCCGCGTCCGTTGCCTTCCGTGCCAGCGGCACGTCGGAGTTATAACACTTTGCCGCAGCGTTTTAGGGAAGCGTGGCCTTTTAAGCGAGGCGGCATTCATTAAAAAAAAAAAACGAGTGGATGCAGCTGTACGAATCGCGAGACCATTTGGAACTAAAATTTTTAAAACCGCCGCGAGGAACGCCGCTCAGTGCGCTGTTGATCACACGACACGATATCGATACCTATCGTCTCTCTTTCTCTCCCTTTATTTTGTTTTTCCTTTTTATTTCTTTTTTCATTTTAATGTCTTTTTACTTAAACGTCAGTGGACGGTTTTTATCACGAAGGAAAATTAGTCCGCGAGGATACACGAGAAGATTTGCGATACCATTGTTTGCTCGACGAATGGATGGAATTTAATATCCAGTTTCTGCCAGAATCCGATACTTTACAATGCTTAGTAGCTGCCACCGTGTTTTTTTTCGCCAAAACGATCCGGCGCTTGGAAATATTTACCTTCGTTGCGCCGAAGAAAAATCCGCACGCGGGGAAATTCGAGAGCGTGTTTGCTCGCAAGAAATAACCGTGAGAGCTTAAAATCTGTTTGGAATCTATTTCTCAGGGGATTTGGAGAGTCCAAAAATGCAGCAGAAACTCTAATTCTTCCTTTTAATTTTCTTTGATATAATATCCCTCGATGTAACGCGCGTACAAAAAGCCAAATATTAATTTCAAGCTTCAGGTTAGCGGAATAATTGAAATTATTATTTAGTAAAATATAAATAATTAAGTTTATGTTAGCGAAATAATTAAATATTCAAAAATTGCGAGAGCGGTAAAATTAACTTAACTTTAATCGGATTACGAGAGAAACGAGTTAGGTGTAATTTGATATAACGCGAGATCTTACATTGGTTAGATTAAGTAGAAAAGTTCAGAAGCAACCTTTAATCATTTTACCGATGAGCAAAATTATCGACCGAATTTTCCTATAAATCAAGATAAAATTTACAAATTGATTTACATTGCATTTAAAAGTGATTCCAAAAGTTTGATTTTAAAAGAGAATATAAGGTGAAATGAGTTTGATAAGAATTCGATGAAACTTCTACTGCGTATATATTGAAATATCTAACTTATTGCTCGTATAATTAAAAAAAAAGATTGACTATTCGAGAACTGAAATTGACACTTTTTAAGTGCTCCCTGATATTAGCGCGCTACTTTTAGTTTCAATTTTTAATATCTTTTAAACTACAAACAAGTTTTAATATAAAATACTATGATATTAAATATGCAGATATATTATATATAAATTTCAGAATTATTGACTGTTTTGCTTCGAAAATACAGAGGTGTAAACTTCATAATTTACAGTAAGATTCAAAATATATGTACATAACATATATTTAAATTCATATGACTCTTTCTATTATCTACGCATCTCTATTAGATCAACTGATGCATAAATGTAGTATTAATGAGAAAAATAAATAAAAATTTTATATTCATAATATTACGTATATACGTCTACCTCAACTTTGTATCAAATTAACATTTATTATTTTGATAGCGAAAAAAAATGTAAAAAGGTAATTTTGCTTAATGAATACTAAATTTATGAGTAGTCCCCTTGGTGCGTCACTAAAAATATCGCACTAGTAGGTAAGACATTTTTAAAGCGAGGAACTCGGGCGAAAAAACAATTTGGCACACGGGAGGCCACATTAATTAAGATCGCTGGATTCCCTCCAACGATCGGCTTTCAGGCAAAAGCTCCGTACGGGAGAATCACCTCGAACTTTTTTCCAGACGCGAGGATCGCCAAAATTTCAAGGGACACTAAAAGTAAAGTTGCGACGAGCTCTCATTAAGCGAACCAGGCGTGCGATTTCGTAATGAAGAAAGCACGCTGGAAGGATCTAACTATCGACGATACGCCGGGCACGATCTCCGGCCGTGAAAGTTCGCCGACGAGATAGAGAGAGAGTCATATCGAGATAGTCGGCGGCTCCTTTATGGCAGCGATTCGCATCGCAGTGGAACAAGTCGAGGACAGGTCGGGCGCCCTGTTAAACCGAGCGTTAAATTAGTTCGACGGCCGAATAGTTCCCGGTGAGTTTAGCATCTTCGCCGCCTTCGCCGGCGAGGCGATCTCTCGTGGGTGTCTTTTTGCGCGGGGTGGCAGAGAGAAAGCGCGGGAGAACGAGAGGAAGAGAGAAAGAGAAAGAGCGGGTGAAGCCGGCGCTCT